TGTGTTTGTAGTAAAAAATTAAAGGTCATTGGGCAAAATAAAACGAGATTAGGGTCAAAATGGATAGCAAAACCACCATAAAACACTCTTCTTCACTGAGGATTGGGCAAAATAACATGAGATTAGGGTCAAAATGGAAAGCAAAACCACCATAAAACACTGTTCTTCACTGAGGAACTCCATCGTAAAAGAAGCTGGAGTTGTTAATGTGAAGGGCAGACAGAAGACAATGCTATGTAAAAGGCATGACAAGGTGGTGAGCTGTACTGCCCGATTCAGTCAGTGGAGTTCAAATCCCAGCTTCTGTCTCTTAAAAAGCCCAAATTCATAGAGGACCTCAGGAGGACCCACTGAGGTATTTTCCTCCACAGCAAAAAAAAAAAAAAAAAAAAAAGAGGTCAGACTGCCAGGGGAGACCTGTCTGCCAGGACCAACTCACTTCTCAATTCACAACCTCAATTAAGCAGCCTTCCTCCCCCAGGCAGGCAAACAGCGACTGTCTGATGGCGAATCAAGGATAGAAACAAACCACCTACATCCTCACAGCTGAGGATGCTCCTGTTCCCTTCCAGAAGACAGCAGTACATAGCGAGTTCTGGTTAGATGTGAACGGATGCTTTAGAGGCAAAAGTCCAGAACACCAAAACAGATCAAAGATGACTATGACTAAGGTGACTCCAGCCATTCCAGAGCTTATGTTTCTCTTTGCTGGCCTCTGGAACAACTTGCAGAGTTGATTATTGCTGGGCAGCACACACTGAGTTAAGCCTCACCAGCTCTGATTTTCTGCAAGTCTCTTGGAGATCCCGTGGTGATTTTTAAACAGTCTCAGAGTGTCCCCTGGCAATGAAATACAACATCTTGAACTTCAAGAAGAACAGCTAAATGTTTTTTGCAAAGAGTTCAAAGTGATGAACAGCCATTTTGCTCAGCTCTAGTTACCTTAATAGGAATGTAAAAGGAGAGAGACTTGATCCAGCTCTCCTCGGTGCTGGCACAGGAAACTCCGTTACTATTTCTGTGCCCATGTAACAGGCTTAAAGGTTCTAAACATTTCGTTCTTTTCACCTTTCCTCATCATAGGTCATTCCCTCTAATCCATTTAGCATCTTTGTGGCCCTTCTCTGGATTTGTTCCAACTTGCCTGGATCTCTCCTGCAGCAAGGTGCCCCAAATCGCACAGTGCGATGCCACAGCACTACAGCGGAGAATCACTCTGGAAAACACACAGCCGGGCAGACATATGGACCAACTGAGCAGTAGCTTTGCCAGACATCAGGCTGCATATCAGCTCACATCATTTGATAGCCACTGTCTCACTGGGACCTCTCTGAACATAAGCTGCTTTTGCCACTGTGCTCTGCACAACATGAAATTTAGAGATTCTCCTTGTTCCAAAGTAGATCCAGTAACATCTTTAAACCACACACAGCTAATTGCCACTTGTTTTACCAAAGCCTGTTAATAACGCTCATTTTTTCAGCCTAGCTCTTCTTTTTTCTACTCTGATTTTTTTCTAGTATCTTTCAGTTGTGTCAACTGTAAATTTGAGAACTATTCCTTTTACATTTTCCTCCAGATCACTAATGAATATTTAAAAACAAAACACTGCCCTTTTGGACACCACCTTTGCAGAAGGATAAAGAATGTCTCTAACCCCTCTGTTTACACTCTGTCAGCTAATCCATGATTCATTTCACAGGATTTGTATCAAAACCAATTTGATCTAATTTCCCTAATAAGATCTTGCACAGCTTTGTGTCAAAAGCCCATGCATGGTCCAGAGACAGTCTATCCACTGCATTCCTGTTTCCCACTAATTATCTAATTGTATCAAGAAAGGTTATTGTCTGCTCTACCCCTGTTTCATAAACCCACTGCTGTTTATCACTAACAATGTTGTTAGCCTTTACGTGCCTATAACTGCCCTCAGACAAGCACACTCTAGTCTCAGTGATTCTGCGTGCAAATATGCAGGTTTAGACAAAGTTGAGACCGCGCTTTAAGTTTTTATCCATTGGTGTTATCTCCCTCGAGCAATGATGTTGGGTTAATGTTACAAGTTACTCCAATTCTTCTCTAGCCTTTCACCATTTGCTATTTCTCTGTAACGGGTGGACTGACTATGAGTTTAATGATCTCTTGAGAACATCAATAATAAGAGAGGGAAAGACTGCTAGATGGACAGGACCAGAAATGGACAAAAGATTAGTGTTATGAAATCAAGGCAGTAAATATTGCCTCTCATTTTTTTGTCTTTAAAAATTCAAGGATTACAAGCTTGGGATCCATGCAGATAAGGC